AATTCCGGGAGCACTGCGGAGCCAAAAGTTCGCGCGGGTCTAACGTTCAGGCAGAAACTTGGAATTTCGTTTCAACTCCTGCTCCTGCTCCACACCTGTCTCTTATACACATCTAGATGTGTATAAGAGACAGCTCTCTCTCTCTCTCTCTCTCTCTCTCTCTCTCCGTCTGTGTGTGTGACACACACAGACACACGTGCGCAGAGTATGGAGAAAGGGGCTGTGAGATGCAAGCCCATCCCCTCCCCCTCCTTCTCCCACTCCTCCTCCCGCTCCTCCTCCTCCTCCCGCTCCTCCACCAAACAACATGACAAAGATCCCGCCATAGCCCCGCTCCCGCTGCTTCTCCCGCTCCTCCTCCCTCTCCTTCTCCCGCTCCCTCTGTTTCCTCCCGCTCCCTCTGTTTCCTCCCGCTCCTCCTGCTGCGGGTCCTCTTTCCGCTGCTTCTCCTGCTTTTTCCGCCGTTCCTCCTCCCCCTCCTCCCCCTCCTCTTCTCGTGCCATGGCCCCGCTCCCGCTCCTTCCCCGCTCCTTCTCCCACGCCTCCTCTCGCTCCTCCCGCTCCTCCCACTCCTCCTCCTCCTCCTCCTCCCCCCCTTCCCGCTCCTCCTCCGCCAAACAACGTGACAAAGATCCCGCCATAGCCCCGCTCCCGCTCGTTCTCCTGCTGCTCCTCCCTCTCCTCCTCCTCCTTCTCCCGCTCTCCCCCTGCTGCTTCTCCTTCTCCCACTGCTTCCCCTGCTCTTTCCCCCATTCCTTCGGCCGCTCCTTCTCCCGCTCGTCCTCGTGCTCCTCCTGCTTCTCCTCCTCCACCTATATCTCCTCCCCCTCCTCCGCCTCCCCCGCGTTCGTTAACCCCCTCCCCGTTTCCCCTCCCGCTCCCCCTCCCGCTCCTACCGCCCCTCCTCCCACGCCTCCTCCGCCCCTTCCTATTTCTCCTCGTGCTCCTTCTCTCGCTTCTAACCCCCTTCCCGTTTCCCCTGCCGCTCCTCCTTCTCCAACTCCTCCTCTCGCGGCTCCTCCGCCCCTTCGGATTTCCCCTCCCGCTCCTTCCCCCGCACCTGCTCCCGCCCCTCCTCCCACCCCTCCTTTTCCCGCTCCTTTCCCCATCCCTCCTCCCGCTCCTTCCACTCCTCCCGCTCCTCCTCCCACTCGTCCTCCGCCAAACAACGTGATAAAGATCCCGCCATAGCCATCTCCTATGAAAAAAACAAAAGAAAAATGGCCCGCCACGTGGCTAGCAGAGAGAGAGAGAGAGAGAGAGAGAGAGAGAGAGAGAGAGAGAGAGAGAAGAGAGAGAGAGAGAGAGAGAGAGAGAGAGAGAGTGTTTACCAGTCAATTTTGCTCATCCTATCGATGGAAATAGCGTGAGGCCAGGCACGGGGTTGGAGACTTACCTGTTCGCCGGTGCGTATCTCTCTCTCTCTCTCTCTCTCTCTCTCTCTCTCTCTCACACACACACACACACACACACACACACACACACACACACACACAAACACACACATACACACATATATTCTTGAAAGCTCTTCACACACACAGATACTCTTAAAAACCCTTCAACCTAACCCGCCTTAATATATATAATAAAAATTAAAAACAGTCATTATTTAATAGATAAGTAAAAACTTCTACTTTTATCAATTATAAATCTATTAAAAAAGCATATAAATAATGGACAATTAAATAAGCAATAACTAAATAGTTTATAAAAACTATTTATAAAGCAAACAAATAAATAAATAAATGTTAAAACATCAGATAAAAAATAATGTATATATATATTTTTCTAATAAGCAATGTAAACTGCAAAAAAAAATAATAATAATAATAATAAATAAAAATAAAAATAAAAATAAAAATAAAGTAAAAGTTAAAAAATTACATTAAAATAAAAAATAAAAAGCATATATAAAAATATAAAAATAATAATTATATAAAAAAAAATAAAAAATAAAAAATAAAAAATAAAAAATAAAAAATAAAAATAATAAAAAAATAAAAAATCATAAATAATAAATAATAAATAATCAAGTCAAAATTTAAAAACGCAATAATAATAATAAGATAATTTTCTACAAGACTTGTACAAAGACCACCTCGCTACAAGAAATATACCCAACGCAACCTTGTATTTTAAAATTCCTACTTATTTAAGTTATACAAATACACAACTACATACATACCGTGGTACAGTTATGGGTACCTTAGAAAACTAATACCACAGAACAATAGAAGTACAAAGCATCTCTAACCCTTCTCCAAACACAATTCTTTGCATACATCACGTCCTTGGCGACACGCGAATCACATTTGTACCTTACACATACAACAAAAATTACCCCCGGGTAATATACTGCACAAACGACAAAATACAGAACGGCTACGTCTACAAAAACAAAAATTAAAAAAACGCGCTTAAAAACATCAGGACAAAATTCCACAACCACATACATAAAAAACAAAATACATGCAGCAGTAAGGAATAGTCACACGCCACTTTTCGGCTCCGACGAGGTTACTCCAGGAAACCGAATTCACAAAGACAAAAGTGAAAGAAGAATTTTGTCAAAGAAAACAAAGACCCATAGCCAAACGCTGCACAACATCACATGATGGCAAACAAGTAGCACGCGGAACTCTTCTTCAGCTGCAGAAAACAAAACCTACATGGGCGAAGCATGTATTACAAGCAGCTACACCATGTTTTTTTTTTATTTTAAAAAGAGGAGAAACACACACCCCCAAACATTAACCCCACCCTTCTACACGTAAAACAAAGACCTATTAGCACCCATCACACGAAGCAATATTACTTTCCACCAAGCCTTACACACGTAATTATCTCCCTACCCCTCTCGGTACTTCGCACCACCACAATAACACCATACAACTATAATCCGCAACCTTGCAATCTGCATAAAAATAGCACTGCTTTACGGCAACTACACACTTCTCCAACGCTG